GGAGTTAGCAAGTGGTTTTATTCCTATGTCGCTACCCAGTTATCTCCCGTTAAGCAAATAACGGTTACTGGTATTTTTTCCGGAAGTAAAACCCGTTTTGTAAACCCTAAATCTTTTTTCCCCAACACCTTTCATCCGAATCAATATAAAATCGATAAAAATCAATAAATTATAATACATACTATAAAAAATAAAAATTAATAATCATTAATAACATACTATACTGTTATAATTAAATAGGTATTTTAAAATCGATAAATTATAATACATATAAAGCGGCCAATGACATGTTGCCGAGGCCTTTATTTATAATAATAAAATAAATAAATACATATAAAAACTAAATTAAAAATATATTATTTATTACTTATAAAACAATATTATGCGCGATTGCCCCTAGAAATATTGTAACTCTTGGTATGCATTAAGATCAGCAGTAATGGACATAATTCGGTTTTGAAATGCACTCAATTTTCTTTTTGGCTGAGCTCTTACTTTTCGCCCTAGACCGTGATCATTATCTTTACATCAGCTTGTTCTTTTTGGAACTCACTGAGAGCAGAGTAAAGGTCGGGGTGATGTTTTCCAATCACGATCTGGAAGCAATTGTGCCACCCCACGCTTACATTATTTGTTTTATGTGAAAAAATAAGAGCTGCTTGATTCTGATTCCAAATTTTTGGAGGATAACGTAGAAAAATCCATCGTCTTCTTCCTAGAGCTGTTACTCCAACCACATAGTTTTTTTCGAAGTATTCTAAAATTGGTACAAAGATCTTCGGGCACATAATTTTCAAGAGCGAAAAAATGCGAGGAACTTCAGCCAAAGGTAAGAATGTCAACGCTAACATCATATGAGTGTACATTTTCAATGAGCGATCGTCGGGGTGGTTGTATGCGATTTGAAGACCGGGACACTGGATTTGTCGATAAACTGATTGGCCGAAATGAAAACAGCAACAACTGAGAGGAGAATTCGGATATACATCTTCACAGGCGCTGATTATGGCTTTTTCAATGTCGGTCATGATCTTAGCCGGTTCACAAACAATCAAGTGTTCGTTAAAAGAAGATAGTACTGTTCTGAGCAGAGAGGCATACTGAACAGTTTCCTTTGACGACAAAAGTGCACAGACAAATGGCAAAGCAACTGTGCCATGAACATCATGTTGTTTGTGTGTTCCCGGGAGCATACTTGTGTGAAAATAGTGGACATATTATAATGTAATAAAAAGCTCCTCATAAATTTAGTTTTTAAATTTTTTAAATTTTTCATTTCGGGAACAATAACTGACGGGAAAAAGGTGTTCGGGAAAAAGGCGTTCGGGAAAAAGAGGTTTCGGGTTTTTGGATTTTCGGTTCAAAATAGTTTAAATATCATTCGAGAAAAAGTTCATTCGGGAATTTCAATTGTGGAAAAACGGCGGGTGCCAGGTACATACAAAAAACAAATTGAAAATGTTAGCCAAGGTTCTCACACGAAGAATTTAATTTATATTATAAATAGTTGCCATTTGGTTCACTCGGGAACATGAAGTAAAAGTATTTATTAAATCATTCAATGGCCTCGAATAAAGAAATTATATTTTAAAATAAACATGAGAGTTTAATGTTTGCTTGTACATTATTACAAACTCAACAAATACTTGCATTTTATGAAAATTTCAAATTGTTTTCAGAGATATCAAAAAAATTTAGAGTAGTTTAACCACTCTTTACGTATACGTAGGTATACCAGATGCTACTCCTAGCTACCACAGTCAAATTGTTCATCTGGGCTAAATTAGCTCATACAGAGAAATAGAGAATACCACCGACGCCGATTTTCCGTGAACTGAGATACACTATACACTAAAACCAAGAATACCTAGATGGCTAAATTATAATACTGTGTTTTTTATTTTTTCATTTTTGAAGTCATCTTTTACACTTTACAGCTAAATAGTATGTTAGTTTAACCGAAGTTTATAGACTCAAAAACTACTTTACCGTTTTTATAGTAAAAGTTATATCAATAGATTCTTTTGACTTTGAGAGTAATTATATCTTATTTTTTCAACCCATATGTGTAGTTTAAGGTTAGCTCACACATAACTATTTTTTTAGCTTATGAAAACCTACTATGATAATAAATTATTGTTTAAAATATTATTTTTTAATAAAATGAATATTTAAATTGTAAAGCATTTACAATTCATGTATATTTATTACTGTATGCATTTAAATGAAAAATGTTTTGCTAATAAAATAATAATAAATACCTACCTGAATCTAATGCATATTATATTTCAGGTTATATGTACCAGTTTATAGTGAGCTGTAAGAAGAAAATCAAAGAAGGTATTAATTATTAGACTAGTTATAATACACAAATCTGACAAAATATAAAATTAAAATACACCAAATAAAATATGCACCAATAATTGGTTCTATGATTATATTCAATTTAAAAAAATGTATTTAATTCTATTATTTTCATTTTATAGGTGCAGATAAAATTGAGCCTGTAGAGTTTTGTTCAACGTTGCTTGAGATCAGTTAAATAATACACTTATCATAATAAAGTTATCTAAATTTATTTATTATAGTTAAGTGTGACTAAATTCGTACTTTATTTAAGATGTTTTCATGTTGTTATACATAATTAACATTTAATATAATGCATATTTATTATAGATTTATCTATATTAATATTTCTAATTAAATGTACTAAAAACATCGTTTTATTTGATAAAGCATGATTATTCCATATTGTGTTATGTAGTTAGTAACACTGCATTGAACCTCTTTTTTTTAATACGTGCACATGTCATTATTATAATATATAGTGTTACTTTAAATTTCACAATTGGTAGATTAATAAAACTAAATTTTGTATGGTCGAGTTTTCCTGCTGTTTAGCTACTCTTCTCAAGCATATGCAACGCCAATATATCTTTACGTGTATATACATACTGTAAAAATGTTACCACAGAATAAGACTTGATAAAAAAAACTTGAACAGAACATTCAGCTACTAAGCGAACAAGCTAAGAAAAATGCAAAGGACATTGATCAAATAAAGATCAGAACAGCGCTATTAGAACAAACTCTCTTTTTCGAAGTCCAACTGAACCAATACGCATATGAGACACAAACTCTTTTGGCAATAATTGATTCTGCCTTACATGGAAAATTACACACCAGTGTATTACACACCCAACGTAGGTTAACAGAACTTCGTGAAATCAAGGCAAACATTCCAATAGGGACGACTTTCCCACTTGAGATTAAAACAGAATCTATTTCTGATTTCATAAAAATTTCGGAAATAACAATTTGTCATAAAGGTCAATACCTTATATTTGTAACACAAATTCCGCTAGTACAAACCATTGATTTCAATGCCTATAAAGTAATTCCGTTACCTATTATAAACGACAGCCAGAGCCTTATCTTAATTGACCCTAGTATGGAGATTATAGCAACTAGTTATGATACGCAAAAGTTTTTCTCGTTGACAAATAAGCAATGGGAAATGTGCAGGGAGGTGCAATCATATACAATATGTAAAAATAGTCAACCGATCAATCATAAATCTAAGTCAAACATATGCGAAATTTCGCTAATGTCAAAACCACAGAACTTCCCCGATACTTGTAATATAAAATTTGTGACAACGAATGCATCTGTGTGGAACCGACTCCCACAATCAAATTCTTGGTTATTCTACACACAATCTGATATAATAACAATATACTACGAAAATCCAGCCAGAACATTTACTTTTTAGATTTATGGTGTAGGTCGATTGACTATTATCACAGCATGTAACATACACACGGATAAAACATTATTATTACCCTCTAAACACATAAGAGCAAACACTTATGCTGATTTAGTTCCAGAAAATTCTAAATTTAATGTCAAACACTCTTTTACAAAAGTATTAAATTCACTAATACCCCAAAGTATTATAAATGTACAGATCATAAAAGATCTAACTGAATTCACACACAGCTTACAAAAATTAAATACTTTAGAAAAACTACCCTCAGAACCTCCAAGTTCTATGATAATAGATGTACACATAGTAATATATTTATTAGTTGCCTCATTATATTAAATACTTTCATTATATTCAAAGTTAGAAAGAATAATATGAAAATGTACAAGCCGGATCTTGCAGAAACCGAGCTTTCAGAAAATAATTGAACATTTAAGTTAATTTATGTAAAGGAAAATAGGGACTATTAAGCCCCTAGTTCCATTTAAGGGTAGGGGTGTTAAGAACCCCTGAATAACGAAAATAAAACAGCAATTGTTTAGTTGTATAATATATTTTAAAAAGTTCTGAATGAACACACTTTACGACTGGGCGGACTAACGACACGACGGGGCACTGGGCGCACTATCGATACGACGGGGGAGGAGCCTTGTCAGGCGGTGTGTCGACCGATGCAATGCCGGAATTACTCCGACTATTGCACCATAGGGTAGGTGTACCGATCGATGCAATGCCAGAATAACTCCGACTATTGCAACATTTGACCGATCCACAAACCGTCCGAGAAGGTGTGGGGAGTTCGTCTTTCCTAATCGCGCAAGTCTGCCCGGGTGGGTCTTGCTACGAGTTCGGAAAGACGAAGAATGATACAAATGGTCGTGTCGTTAGGCCTTTTATACCTGGTTCATCGGCGATTACACCGGACCGGTCTCGTGTTCTGTGACAGAAAGCGCGAAACCCCCATAGTGCAATCACCGATGAACGCACAAATAATATAATAACATGCATTAAATACTATACAAAAATAAAATAAATAATATTATTATAATGAGGGTCATGCATATAAACAATTATAATAATATTTTAATGAGGATGATATATATAAAACAAATTAGATTTTATTGCATAATATAAGTTGCATAACAATTATAATAATATTTTTAATAATGATAATTTATTAAACGCGGCCTTATCGCGCACAGCGCAAACATCACCGCCCACTTTGAAGGAATCTTCAAAAGGATGGAAAGGGGCACAGTTTAACAGCTGGGCGAATAAAAGATCCGGTGGCAGTATCCACTGTTGCAACCCGGGTTATTCTGTCTGAACCTGGATGAAGTTGACGAATTCTTCCCACTGACCATTGTAGTGGATGTGTGACTTCTCGAATAAGAACGAGATCGCCAACATTCAACTGTTTCCCGTTGGAGCACCATTTTGAACGAACCTGAAGTGTAGTGAGATATTCATTCTTCCAGCGAGACCAGAAGTGACGATGAATATCTGATATAAGACGCCAACGAGTCAGTTTTGATAGTGGTACGTTGTCTAAGTTGGGGTCTGGAAGAGACGTAGATGGTTCCAGTGTTAAGAAGTGGCTTGGTGTGAGAGCGTCGAAATTTGATACGTCATTGCTTAAGGCACATAGTGGCCGCGAGTTTAGCGTAGCTTCAACTTGGGTTAAAAGTGTCATGAACTCTTCAGCCGTTAACTTATGGAGTCCAATAGAGCGAAGAATAAGTGACTTTGTGGATTTCACTCCGGCTTCCCATAATCCCCCAAAATGAGGAGCCGAAGGGGGGTTGAAATGCCATATTATGCTGGATGTGGCCAGATAGGCACGTACGCGAGTTTGGAATGATTGTGAGTTGGTTAACGTTTGTATTGGGTTCAACAGGCGTGATGCTCCAACAAAGTTTGTACCGTTATCGCTGTGGATTTCATTCACTGGACCGCGACGAGATGTGAAACGTGTTAAAGCCAATAGGAATGTTTCTGTTGACAAATCAGAACTCAATTCTAAGTGAACCGCTTTCGTATTTGTGCAGACAAACAGACATATATAGGCCAACTTTGAACTTGACTTTCGTCCTACATGACTCTTTAAAGTAATTGGTCCAGCATAATCTACACCAGTGATGGCGAAGGGTTTAATTTGTTGGACGCGGTACTTAGGAAGCGCAGCCATTTTTGGTTGAACGGATTGTGGCCTCGTACGGAAACATGCAAGACAATGCCTCAAACGTGAACGGATTACTTGCCGGGATGACTGGATCCAAAACGTTCGTTGTAAGTGAGTTTGGAGAGCAGACGGACCGGGGTGTTTCAATTTGCAATGGTGGTGGTCAATGAGCAGATCTGTCAATCGATGATGTGACGGTAGGAGAAGCGGATGTTTCTGCTTATATGGAAGGTCGGCATTCTGAAGGCGACCGCCCACTCTGAGAAATCCAGCGTGATCAATAAATAGGTCCAATTTACGCAGTGGTTTGGAGCAGGGTAAGTGTTTCGTAAGTAGTACGATTTCGTCCTGGTACACGGATTGTTGTACAGAAAAAATGAGAGCAGACAAGGCGTGATGTATTTCATCCGCGTTCAGAACTGATGTGGTTTGTTGTTCCGGTTTTTTAACATTTCTGACGCGTAAACAGTATGCAATAATTCGAATGATTTTGTCTAACGACGAAAAGCGATCTAGTAATTTTGTAGCGGAAGAACTTACGGTCATGAATACATCAACAGATTTTCTAACCTCAATATCAGGCACTGTATCGCTGGCATCTTGAGGAACGTAGAGAAAAGCTGGCCATTGATCTGGAGGTTTTAATAAGAAAGGTGGGCCAGTCCACCATAGGGAATGATTTATGAGAGCTGACGGATATAATCCACGAGATGCACAGTCAGCGGGATTGCTGAGAGTTGGAACGTGTCTCCAAATAGATGGAGATGTCAACTCTTGTATTTGACTTGTACGATTCGCAACAAAAGTCGTCCAACGATGCGGTGACGATCGAATCCAAGCAAGGGCTGTGGTAGAGTCAGTCCATGCAATTAGTTTATCGATATGTAGACGATCTTGAAACGTTGAGACGGTGTAACGAAGAAGTTGTGCTGCAAGAACGGCTCCACATAGTTCCAAACGGGGAATGGTAACATGTTTTAGAGGTGCGACTCTGGTCTTGCCTGTAACAAAATGACAACGTACTGAAGTCGCAGTTTCGACACGGAGATAGACTGATGCAGCGTATCCCTTTTGAGAACTATCCGAAAAGGCATGCAGCTGGACTGAGATAGCACAATCTTCAGTAATGCGACGAGGAATGACAAGCGTGTTAACTAAATGAAGTTCCGACTGATACTTCTTCCATAGCGTGAAAAGGTCGGATGGTAAGGGATCGTCCCATTTTATTCCAGAAATCCACAAACACTGCATAAAGTGCTTGATCCAAAATGTAGTTGGCGAGAGTAACCCTAATGGGTCAAACGTTCGAGCAAGGTCCGACAGTACTGATCTTTTGGTAGGGTCTTTTGACGAGGGTTGCGTG